GCTTGCTCGCAGCTAGGCCAGACTTGCTTGCTTAGAAAGGACAATTCCTTGCAGGGTTTTCTGATACACAAAAAAAAAAAACAACCCCCCCCAAACACCACCAGCACCACCATTACCCCTGCCACTGTTTCATTTTGTTTTGTTATGCAGAGGTGCTTGTGTCGAGACTGGGCTCTGGCAGATCTTGTTGGTGCCTCTGGAATTTTCTCAAGGTGAAAGGACGTGGCTCCCCTTGGCTTCCCCCGACCACCACCCCCCCCCCCCCAACTCCTAACTCTCGGTCGCCATGCCGATGGGGATCTCCGGCCCTCGCAAAAAGTATTTAGGGAGAAAGGACGGACAGTGGGAGAGACAGGAGGGTCATCTCTGAAGGCTCCTCAGGGCCACCAGATGGCCGCCATTTGCGTTTTTTGTTGTTGTTGTTTTGTTTTATGCTCTTTCCATTTTGTTTCCAGAGGAGCGAGTAGGGGGTAGTGGGTAGGGGGTGGTGGGGGTTCACAATGGCCCTGAGTGGTTCAGCTGAGCGCGTGTGGCCAGCGCTGGGCTCCCCCCCCACACCACCCACCCTCCCTCCACAGCTGACTGGAGATCGGGTATGAAGTCTTTCACCCTAGGGGGGTCGCGGCTCTTTCCCTGCCAAGGTTATAAGACAATCCAAAGGGCAGCACCCCCACCCCCACCCCACCCCCGAAACAAACAGATCAGTACAGAAAGAGGACAGAAGCTGTTGTACTTCGGGATATGAGCAAGAGAGTGCACTGTGTAAGATTGTGTGTGTGTGTGTGTGTGTGTGTGTGTGTGAGAGAGTCTGCATGTAGGAGTGTACATATGCATGTGTATGTATGCGTGCGAGTGTGTGTATGCATGTATGTATGGTGTGGGAGTGTATCGCCGTGCCGTGAGTTTTTTCTGGACTGGGTTAAAGCAGACATACATATGTCTCTTTCAGCAAGGTCGGTTGTCAGCACAAAAGAGGTTTAATTCTTGAAAGGGCTTGAGGGAGAAACCATCACCAACCACCAACCACCAAGTAAAAGATGAACTAACCGGTGGCTTAATTTTCTGCCTCATCAAAAGCATCAGGGAGCCACAGAGACTCTCAAGGAAGTGAAACTGAGCAACCCCCATCGGCCACGTCTTCACAGCCCATCCCATAATACCAGGCCTGTGCATCCACCTTGGAAACCGCCAAGAGCCCAACAAACTTACTGTGCATGTGTGCCTTTCTGTGAATGTGTGACACTGTGAGGGGGAATGTGTATGTGTGCAAAATTTTGTGTGTGTGAGTATGTATGTTTGTGTGGACAAGAGCTTGTGTGTGTGTGTGTTATGAATTGATAAATCATGTGACTCTGCAAACAAACACTGGCATTGGTTATTTCACTCAGGTCTGTCAAAGGAACCATTTTGGAGAAAGAGGGAAATGGACATGGTGCTTTTATGCGAAGTGATCCGTTCAGGTCTGCAAATGATTGCCCTCTGCTCTTCCCCTTTCGTGACTGAAGGAGTTCCCCTGTCCCTTAAGAAAAATGGGCAAAAGCCGCCGAGGGAAGCCTGGCTCTTCCCCTGAAAGGAACATGGTGCTTCCCCAAAAGACACCAAGAGGCATTGTTTAGCAAAAAAGAAGAAAGAAAAAAAAAATCCAGGTGATTGTATCAGTGGTGCGAGAAGAAGAGAAGAACTTCTGAAAAACGCGCGTGGCGGAACAAGACAGCCGTTCTCACCACCCCAGGGCGAAGTCATGAGTCATTATCGTCACACCCGTCTGACCACACTTCACACGTTTAGGAACAAAACTCCGCTAAAGGCAAAAGGCCCACCTTCTAACACAGGCTGCTTAAGATGCTGCGGTGATGGGAAAGTGTAGCACTCATAAGACTTACCACTTACAGAAATGGAATATGCTGAAATATATTGTACATATATTTTTGAAAAAAAAAAAAACATGATGTTAAACATTTCAGATCAATATTTTTTTGAAGATATGTTGCAGAAAATAACAATTGTGTTCTGAAAATCACAATTATTGTTTCATGTATTGGTAAGTGTTCAACATCTATTTCAGTCCTGATCATACATTTAATTTCTGTACATGTCATTGTATTTCATTTCTGGTAAAGCTCAGTGAGGTGTTGCTGAAAGAGTAGCCATATTTCACACACTGAACAAGTCACACAGAGGACAGGTGTCTACTGTGTTTTATGTGACAGACCTACAAACTTTAAATGTAATGCTTACAAAATATTGCATGAATAAGAAATGTTGTGCTTGACTGTAGATAAATTAGGAGGCATCTTATAATATTTATAGTGCTATAGTTTATTGCTGTTAGTATTACAAAACTCTGGGGAAGGAATTGCACACTGATTTATGTTTTTCCCCATTGCAGACATTTTGGGTGGGAAACACGGCCCAAAATGTCCAAAGGACTGAGATACACAGCCACGCCCTAAGAGCTGGAGACCCGAGCAGCCACTGCTGCTGACTGCAGTTCGACCAAGGAGAGATCACCAGGATCATAACGCATGTGGAACAGCGGCATCCACTACCAGAACTGAAAAACACCCTATGCGGACCGGCCTCACCAAAGCAGTTACACAAGTGGACAAAAATGCCAACACATTTGAATACTCGGTGCCATAAAAATAAATAAAACACCCTTCTTGGAACAGAGAAGCCCTTGATTGCATAGCAAACCATTGGAACAGTTTTCAAATGGCAGTTTGGGTAAATGGGGTGGGGTGGAGGGGGGGGTGTGGGGGGTGTGGAGGGAGGGGAATCAAAACTATAATCTTGTCATTCCAGTGTGTCTTAGTTTCCAAGCCCCTTTTGTTGAAAACATGTTTGTTTCAGCCCCTCTGCATTCACAGGCACCCTGCTAGTGTTTGGCTACAGTTCATCAATCTGTCATCAGAAATTAAGCTGTTACAGTATTTTTTTTCCTTGAAAAATACAGGGGGACATTAAAACTGAGGGAGATAAGGAGATGGGCTGTTGATAATAGAAAGATCAGAAACAGGTGGGGAATGTTTTTTTGGAAAGAAATATAATAACAAAAAAAAAATTCCCCCTGGGACGGGCTTGGGAGGGGGACGTTAAGGCCCGATCAAACGAAAGCCGATAATTTCTGTCACGCTTGGCCAGTGGGTCTTTGTCAAAATGTCCCCTCTAGCCTGGTCCAGTCATGGCTGGGAACCAGGCAGGCTTATGGGTGAATGAAAGATGCTCTTCTCTCCAGCTCTTCTACAGTTTCATAGTGATGTTACTTCCTGTATTTTCTGCCATCTAAGGTCCCATAAAGAGACTGTTATAGGTGGATTAAGAACAGACACATGGGTTAACATGGGAATGAAAGACACCCTTTTCTCCGTCTGATATCCATCGGTTTCATGTGATGTCACTTCCTGTATTTCAACTTGATGGGAATGATTTTTTTTTTCCTCTACCTCCTTTTGAGCCCTGCTATTCATTGATTTCATGTGATGTCACTTTCAGTATTTCATGCAAGTTGTGAACCTATAATGAGGAGCTCCAAAACGAAATCTGACCCAATGGCTTGAGCTTGCAAAAATTACAATTTCCTCAAGAAGAAATTGCATAGGTATAATGTGTTATTATTTCAGTAAGAAACATGCAAACATAAAGTTGATGAAAAATTACTGATGAGATTTTTGGTAAATATTGATAAAGTTTAACTGTTTTGTTCCTCAATGAAAATAAGTCTATGTTGCATTACATTTGGCCCTTGGAGCTGGACCACATGGACAGCTAAAATGAAAACTTTTTCACCCAACACTTTGTTTTTTCCCTTTAGTCTCAATATGATTGAAATAAACAGGGCTAAACCAAGATAAAAGCAATGGTGTCTCAGATTATCCAGAAAGGGACTGAATCATCTTTCACTTCAGCACTCATATTAGTGTGAAGGGGGTCAAAATGTGGGCAGTGAGAAAAACATTTTCATATATTCCTTTTTTTTTGTTAGTTAAACTCAACAACACTACCCAAGCAATGGTGCAGAGTCTGATACTATAGATGCTTAACTTAAGAGTAACATCCCTCTAATTTTATTTTAAATCTGAAATTGGATTCAGGAAAATAACTGTGTGTGCACACATTTGTGTGAGAGACGAGCGTGTGTGGGTGACAGTAAGAGAGCGTGTGTGTATGTGTGTGTGTCAGCTCAGTGCCACGCGGCTGTGTTTCCCAAGTCCTCCAAATGAAAATAAATAAATAAGCAAACAGAAAGTTCTCTGGGCAGACAGGGTTTTGAAGTGTTTACCTGCAGATTTGGGCTGGCTCTGTTTGCCGCGCTCCCCTGCCTGCCAGCACGGCTGACTGTGGTGAGTGATAGTGCCAGACGCTCTTTGTTTGGCTTTCTGCTCACAGTGTGGAGCGCGGAGTAAGAAGCAGCACTCCACATCTCACTGATAATCAGACCTGTACACACATGTGAATGCATGCACACACACACACACACACACACACACACACACACACACACACACACACACACACACACACACACACTTACAGGAACATACACGCATGCACACACATACATGCTCTCTCTGTCATGCACACACACACACACACACACACACACACACAAAAGCACACCAATATATGCTCTCTCTGTCATGCACACACACACACACACACACACACACACACACACACACACACACACACACACACACACACAGGCGCACACACACACACACACACACAGGCGCACACACACACACACACACACACACTCACATCTCTGTCTCACACACACACACTCTCTCAGTCTCTCAGACACAAACTCTCAGTCATACACTCACACAAACAGGCATGCTGACACATGTATGAGCTTGCACACACAAACACACAAATGCATTCACACCTATGTACCCACACATAAGCACATATCCATTCATGCACACACAAACTGACTTTAAAGTTGTCAATGCTTACAGAAGCTTGACAGTATTCTTACATATTTATTTCCTAATGCCAGAGTAGTATAATGGTGAGGAAGCTTGTCTTATAACTCAGAGGTTGTTGGTTCAATACCTATCCAGGGCACTGCTGTTGTACTCTTGACCTCAATTGCTACAGTAAAGATCCAGCTCTATAGATAGATAGCACATGTGTGATAAGAAATTTTGACAAGTGCCTAAAACACAATATAAATGAAAGCTGTGATCTTGGTCAGACTAGGGGTAACTGGCATCAGCAGTAACTTAAAAGCAAGGACGAACATAGCTAATTAGGCTACCTACTGAGCATTCAGGTACATTACTTCAACATGTCTTCCTCTCACTCAACGACAGGAGCAACCAAATGCAAAGTTTCTTCAACTGCAGCACAACAGACATGACTACAAATCTTCTTATTAAATATAATCAATACATATGGAATATGAAGCTTCTTACCTATTCTTTTACAGGCTGTTCTGTTCCTAAAAGTACTTATGTATGTATAAATATGTATAAATACAGAAAGGCCAAGTCAACACCACATTTGACCCAGGCTATAGTACACCAAGAAAATCTACAGAGGTGCTGTGCTCCAGAAAAGAAAAGGATTTCATAAAAACCAGCCTCAGTGAAACGGACTACCGTTCAACTCTGACTCTGTGTGTGAATGTAAAGCACTGTTGTAAACCTTGGTTGTCTTCACTCTGATGGTCTGCAGCTGATCCCACCCCGAGCTCCGGCCACAGTTGAAGGCGTTTGTTTTTAACCAGCACTGAGCTCTGACACTGGAAGACGATGGCATTTCACCCTGAACTGGGGTCAGTGTTGGTGGGCCTGACTCGTGGGTGGAATTATATACAGGGTGAAAGCACACAGACGTGACCTGAGTCACAGCCTTTCTCACCATTACCCATAATGCCCTTCCCCTCGGCTCACTCGGACTGCCCTTCCTAACAGATGTCATAAATACAAGCTCTTTATACCACTTTTACCTCTTTTTTTTCCATTTGTGTATATAAAACTGTGGAACAAACTTATTTTCACTGAAATGTGTTTGATAACAAACTTGGGCAGTAGGGGAGGGGGCTTAGTTGTCAGTGACATATTTCAATGTTATCCCATGTATAAAATGCGAAACTTTTTTTCCATACAAAATAAGTCATTTGTTGATACAGGTGACCATAAATTAACCTTTAGGTTATTTATACACACAGACCACCGCACCTTTTTTCCACATTTATGCCGGCAGCCTTCAACTGACTCCATACTATGCTGTAGACATTAGGCTCAAAAACTGTCGCAGAAGTGCAGAGAGAGGAACAGAGCTATCGGCTCAGAGGCTGATATGGTGCATCAAGACAGCATATGACTCCACCTGCTGGTGATCCTGTGTTATTGCATTCTCTACCAAAGGAAGAGAAGGTTTATAATGGGTTTCATGCAGTACTTTTTCACAAGCCTTTATTGTGGCAGATTCAGAGCTCCTTCATGACTCCAAGTACCAATAGTTTAAAACAAGAGAACATAAAAAAAAAAAACACAGACATGAGGACAAATACAATTAATGTTGTTAAAACTAAGCACATTTGTGGAAATTTACAGTAATAATCCACAGTGGAAGATGTTCCCCAAGATAAAGTCAGAACACCAAATGTGTTCACGGTACTTGGAAAAAAACACTTGGTGATGTTGAATATCTTAAGCATTTTGTTTTTATCTCTCTACTGAAGAGAAAGAGGTAACTCACAACTGCAGTCAACTGTTACAGTTCAGTCATTCAGTCAAGAGGATGAGAAATTATAAAGACAGAGTTCAAGATAATCTGAAAATGCCTGCTGGAATGGTGAAGCGGATACGAGAAAAACACCGGGTGTGAGAGGGGATGAAGGTCAAGACAAATCTCTCCAGCTGCACACCTCTCAGTTAACGGCTCCATGTTCAAAGGCAGAGAAACGTACAATATCAAACACTGGTGACCATTTCCAATGCACGGTGTAGGATTTCTTCTGTTTTGGGATTCGAGTCAGTTTCGTTCACATGGATACAGCACTTTTTGATCACCTTGCAAATGGCTGCACAGTAAAGGAATGAATGGAGCAGATCTTGCAACGGAATTGATTAAAAGGTCAGCTCGTTAAGATCCAGCGATTTACAGTCCCCTCGTCAAATGTCATTTAATTTATTTCGGGCTTGTGTCAATATCATTAGTGTTTCAAAGCAAACACTTTAAGGAGAGATGCTCGAATCTGCAGTAATTGCATTTTACAGGACTGTGTGCGACAGGAAGGAACAGTTGAACAAGTCAATGAGAGCACCATAAAGTGCACCACGCCTGGACTCGTGTATTAGCGGGAAAATGAAGTTATTTGGCTCCATTTTTTTTTTCGATTGAGGAAACCCAGGGAGTGAGTTTGGTTGGGGTGTACCAAGCTTTCAAATAGACAACAGTTTCTGCAAAAGCAGATTCAGAAGCACTATAAAAAAAAAAGTCCATAAAATGCTATCAATTTTCACTAGTTCAATTTGTCCAGAGAAGACCCCTTTGGCGGACTTAATGACATTACATGACTGACATATGTTAACATTTTTTTCTCTTCCTTTTTCATTAAAAGGCAATGCACTACAGGCACGCTTTAAGGCTTAAGTATTTGGATCGGACTTGTAGAAATCGTGCTTTCAACTTATTAAAAGGGGGCGGTCTGGAGAGCCGGCCGGCAGGAGGCAATCCCCTTTAACCTGCCAGCTTCGTAAATAAGTGGAGGAGCTCTCCCAGCGAGATCTCCGCACACTTTCATAACGGCATCCAATCCCTAAAGTGCTTCTTTAAATGATTGGAGAAGGCCTTCCCTTCCCTCCCCCTTCTTGGCATCTGCTGTTTTTAGTGAAATTAGGGCAGAAGTGGACGTTTACCATACTTTTTAAAGAATTTCTCCAAAATTATGGGGGATATGAAAAGCCGCACAAATTAGTTTTTGAATCCTACCCCCCCCCCCACATGAACTGTTGAACAATGCAATCCATAGGACAGCAGGAGTGTTTTTTTGTCCACCACACTGAGGTACTGAAAGCTCATCGTAATCTTCCACAGCTGGCCAGTGAGAGGCCTGGGCTGGTAACTATACCCAGGCAGTTGCATATGCAAACTGAGTCACCACATTCTGGTCTTCGGGATCCAGAGGGTTGACATTGTGTTAAACCTTATGGAGATGGGAAATACTGACAGTGTCTGTGGGATCAGAGTGAGTGTGTGTGTGTGTGTGTGTGTGTGTGTGTGTGTGTGTGTGAGTCTCAATGTGGTTGATAGCAGCCTATAAGCAGCACTAATTCACAGTTCTTCAGCTCCCGTTAGCACTCCAGCACACCTCCAAGCAGTAAAACATGAACCCTTGTCTAAGTACGAACACCTGTACAAGTCCAGGGCCCATATGCCACTGAATTAATCTCAACTTGCTGACTCAAATTCCAGTACAACATAATACACCGTTAAGCCTGCATAACGCTGTCATAAGCATGTAATAAATGGTCATGATGGTTTATAACCACTTGACACAACACTCATAATTAGAGCAATGAATTTCACCAAACACATTGAAAATAACAGTCAGAATTACTGCTCCATATGTGGTGGCAGTGTTATGATATTGTTCATTGGTGGTGTGCGTGCAGTCATATGATTGCTGGTTAGCTGAAGAGCCCTTGCCACAGCAGGGTGACGGGAGGCCTTCATGTAAATGAGAAATCTGGCTTGTGTTCAGTGTTCAAAACGGCATCCGCTGCCGAAATTCGAGCACTGAGCTGCTTTGTTTCTATGAGGTCCCTCTCCCTCCAAAGAGCTCTGAGTGTCCAGGATCACACCTGATCTGGTCTGAGCTGGCTAACACTCGCTAACGCTCGCCTCTTCCCCAAGAGCACCATGTTCATGCGTCGCTTTATTCAAACCGGGGGATTTTTATTCAAAACAAAATACCTTTTCTTTGTGTGAAAATGGTAATGGACAAACAAAATCACTATGGCCAGGAGCTCGATTCTGACAGTGTTAAACCCCAAATACAGATAAGGGACCGAACGCTAATCACAAAGAAAAAATATGCATCCATTTTGTTACCCTTAAAAATGTGTTCAACTTAAATAAACAACTGTCACTAATTTGTGTTTTTCCTAAGCAGCAGATGTGATCAACAGCCATATCTCAGGGGGCACAATGACACACGAGTAAAGGTTCCACCAGGGACTGGGTAAATGATTGACCAAAGGAAATGTATGAATCGTGACCTGATTGTAAATAACAGTGATATTTACTCAGTAAAGTATATCACACCAGTATAAATGCTTATGACTTATTTTACTTCTTTAAAGATTTTTTTGCTTATATACTGAATTTAAACATATTAATTCAGCCCAATGTTTTTTAGTCTTCATTGTAAGATCTCAACTCTCCTTCCTGAATCAGGGGGTGGGGGTGGGGGGTTCAGGCTCCTCTGCTCCTCTCATTGAACTACTGTCAGTTCCTGTTACCTGCCTTAGTGTAGAGTGCAGGAACTGCAGCGGTCTTAAACTTAAACTCTTAAACTAAAACAAGCGGCCCAACCTTGAGGTGGATTTGTAATCAACACAGGTGTTAGCCATTGCCTTCATTAGAGCCTTCAATTCAAAGCACAGTCTGCCAGGCAGGGGTTAGACTTTTGGGTTGTGACTATTGTTTATACATTGTTGGCTGTGGTTGTTTTGTTTTTGTATATTTGACCTTCTTGATTTACTAAAGAGTTTTATTTTTTATTTTCCAGTAGGAGGAAAAAAAGAGCATCAGGCTTATTTTGGTTCACTCATTTGTGTTTTGTTTTTTGCTGCTTCCCCTCATTACCTGGCCCAGCAGCCATACCTGTCACTGCACCACAATATTTATAATTTCAGCCTATGTTTGATGATACCTATTTTTTAACTGTCAATAGATTTTTCCCTGTTCTGTTGCTAGCTGTTGTTGTTAGCTGTTGAAACGGAGATGGTGGCATTGTGTGATGAACAGAAGAAAACAGCTCTGACAGGACAGTCTGGTCAGAATACGCAGTTTAACTATCGCACATGCCCACAATGCCCTTCCTCTGTAAA